TATATATATATATATATATATCTTCGCCCTTCCCCAACGCTCGCAGTTCAGCCTTGACGGGGGAGACGGGCTCTACTGCAAAGGCGAACGCGGGATAAAACGAGTAGCGTCAGCTTCGGCCGTCACGTGGCGCCGTTCCACAGTACTAGTGCTCAGAGAGCAGCAACATCCCACACAGCGCACGGCAAGCCTCAAGAAACGTCTGCGACAGAGCCACACATGCGCAAGCGACACGGCACCGTACGAGCAACGAAGACTGTCAGGAACAACACACGCGCAAAGGCAGCAGTCAGCAGCGTCTTTCAATCCCACCTGTTTCTTAATCGGTCGAAGCGCGTCAGCAGCCCCCGGCATCACTGACGTAGAAGGCTTCCCTTAAAGAGCAACGGGAAGGGTATCTTCTTCTTACTACTAGTACCACTAGTACTACTACTACTACTACCACCATTACTGCAGCTGCTGTCCAGGAAGTACCGCGTCGGTGGTTTCCACAAGCCATCCGTTGAGCAGCGCGATCTCCACCAGCGCCTTGCAGCACACCTCCTCCCATTCCGCGAAGGCGTGGCACAACAGAGGCATATGTCGCATCTCCCACCGCACGTTGGCTATCGTGTTGTGTGTGAATTTTCCAAGTGCGCAGAGAGCTGCCGCCGCCGCGGCGTCCACTTCCGCCTCACTGTACGTGTTGTCGTGTCCCCCGCGCTCGTCGAGACTATTGGACACATCACTCACTACGCCTTCAGATGTCATCACCACCGAGGAGGAGGAAGGTGTGCGGGTGATGGTCTCGGTTCTAAAAGGCAGCGGCAACCCGAGCTCATCCTCAATCTGTTGCTGCTGCCGTCGCCTCTTCTCCTCCTCCTCCTCCCGTTCCTGCCGCTCAAGTGCTGCTGTTGTCAGCAACACAGCAGGCAGCGTCACGGTGTAACCGCCAACTCTAGTCTCACCTGCCCCACTACTCATGCAGTCGTGCCGCCCCTTCGGTGGTGGTGCGGGTTGATGTTGTTCGCGGAGACGATAAAACTGTTCCTCCACAAGCAGCATGCGATGACCAATGATGCGGCGTGCCATGTGGTGCCGGTCGCACATCACTCGATAGAATGCCCCTGTTGTGGTGTACGTGCTATTAAGCCGACACGGCCGCACAATCCGCACATAGTTGTGCACCTCCAAGTGCTGCAGCGCCTCTAGTACAACGAGCTCCAGCTCTCCCCACCAGTCTGGATACAGTCCCTCTTGACTACTCGTTGCGGCATCATCAGCCTGCCGCTCGCTGTGCGGTCGCAACGGGTGCGTTACTTTGAGCGGCGTCGATGCCGGTGCTGCTGCAAGCGGAGTTGTGTGCAGTCCTAAAGAGAGTGGCGAGACAAAACGCGGTTCGTTGCACTGCGTCGGCGATATAGGAAGAGAGGTGGGCAGCTTCTCACCATTCGCGCTGCGTGAGCACGGGCTTAACGCGGCAAGCTCCGCAGCGCTTTTAAACTGCGGCAACGACTCAAAGTATGGCGTATACATCGGCGAGAGCGCCTGCAATGAGCAGCTGAGCGGTGAAAGCCAGTGCTGCCACCTCTTCCGCTCCTCCACCGCCTCGTACCCGGCGGCGAGGATCTGCACGATGCTGGCGATGCTGCGCTGCCCGTCAACCGCCTTGAAGACGTCATGCACAGCCAAGTCCGCCCACTCCAGCACCTCCGCCGAGTATTCGGCGATGGGGATCGGCACCTCTTCGAGCATGTGGCGTGGCGGCACGTGCGGTTGCCGCATGCGACGCACGTGAAACGAGTGCATCTGGGAAAGACGAACAGAAACAAGCCGCTCCTTTGTTGGCACCGGCTGCTGCTGCTGCTGCTGATCTGTGACCGCCACGGATTGCCTGCCCTCCTTTGCACCGCTGGGGTCTGCCACAACCTCCTCTTCCTCCTCGCAGCTCAGGCACGCGTAGAGCGTTTCGATCATCGTGTCCAGTGGTGTCCACTGTAGTGCGGCCGGGTCCTGCAGCGGCGTCAAGAAGACATTAACACGCGCCGCCCCTCTGCTAGCAACAGCAGCAGCTTCTGTTGCCGGGGTGGAAGCATCCGCGCACCCCGTGTCACTCTCTCCCGCTTCTTCGAGCGGTGATTCCACCTCCTGCTTGGTGCGCTGCGAAGGGACCGAGGAGGCACGTGCGAGGCCGCGCGACATGTAGCCGTAGCGCAGCTCCGCCTTCCGCAACTCCTCCACGAAACTTGTTAGCACCACACTGTAGGGCCGCACAAGACGCTCTGTGAGGGCCGCGCTTGTCGTCACGAGTTCCTTGCTTACACTGAAGACGAAGCAGAGTGTATAGCGGAGTGTCTTGCGCTGGTAGTGTAGCCCCGCGATCTCCTCCGGGTAGAAGAGATACAACAGACCAGACTCCGCCTCCAGCAGGTACATGACGCGACGACAGAACTCAGACCGCGGCACGAATACGTCGCTGAGCCGGTCGGCGGCGGCCGATGACACGCACGGCGAGGTTCTATTGCCGATATCGTTTCGCTTACTATTATCGTTATTTTCAACATTCAGCTCTTCGGTGGAGGGTGCGACGAAGACAGACTCCTTGGCGGCACGCGCGAAGGGGTTAACAGGGGCGCAGCAATGCGTGTACGGGCCCTTCACCACATCGAGGGCAATGAGCAGCACACTGTGTAGGCGAAACATCACAATAACTATGCCGCCACCCCCTTCTCTACGCGGCTTCAACCACACACACACACACACACACACACACACAAGACAACACCACACAAAGGGGGAAAAATGGACGGACCATGACGAATCCATCAAAAGAAATGAAAAGAAAAAGGAGAGAAGGCAGACACTACACTCAATTACATCTGCATAAATGCAGAGCACCAGTCACCGGCAACAACAACATCAGCGGCAAAGAGCCTCCTGCATTTGCTCCAACAGCTGCTGACATATATATGTATATATACGTACAGTGTATAAATAAGCATGCAAGTACAGTTGTGCAAAGAGCACATGACGGGAGACACCAAGGAAATAGTATCACCTGCATTCTCCAGTGCGAACATGTATGAATAAATCTACAGGACGCCTCCAACATACACACACACACGCAAAGCCAAAGCAATAAAAACGGGGAAGCACATTCATCCCGTTCTACGCTCCCATGTCTTCTGCTCTCTCGCAGCGACGATGAAAAAGGCCCACACCAACCGCCGGACAAATGTAACGAATAGGAGAACTAAAAGAAAAAAAAAGTCAGACACCCCCCCCCCTATAGGTAAAGCAGAACGGTGTTGCAAACAATCAAAGAAATTCATCAATCTGGTCGAAGCTGTGCCTTGAGTGGGTTGTCGTTGATGTCATCATCGGCAATCGACATCTCAGCCGCGTCAGGCGATACACCGCCACGCTGCATCTTCGTGATCTGTCGGTCCACCGCGCGAAGGGACTCGTTGCGTTGTCGCACCATCGCGAGCAGCTCTTCGTTGAGGCGCCGCACATCCTGCTTCTGCCGCTCCAGAACCTCCTTCTCGCGCTGTGCCTTCTGCAACCAGCTATCGTCGTCGCTGCCACGCTCCACTGTGAGGTACACGTCCGACTCCTGCAACTTCATTGAAAGCAGCCGCCGCTCTAGCTCTGTGTAGGCGGACTGCAGATCGTGCAGCTGCCGCTGCAGCTCAAGGTACCGCCGCTCATGGTCCTCATGGTCGGAGACGAGGGCGTCACGTGCAGCGGACACACGCTGTAGCTCCTCGACAGCCTCGCGCCTGGCAATTTCTGCCCTCTGCATTTGATCCCGCGCGCTGTCGGCGTTATTACTTTCCTCCTCCAGGGCCGCCTGCAGTGTGGCGAGGACATCCTGGAGTTCTTTTACGCGGGCTTCGTAGTCCTTCACGATTTGCATACTCTCCCGCAATGAGGCCTTGCAGTCGTCACGCACGCGCAGCATCTCTTGTTTTAGCTCCACCACCTCCCGCTGCGCCGCGCGCGTCTTCTCTGCCTTATCGTTGCGCTCCTTCTCTAGCTGCGCGTGCAGGACCCCAACCTCCTCCTGGTACTGCGCCACCTGTCTCTCCAGGCGTTGCTGCTGTACCGACTGGGGGTCAAGGGGTAACATGCTGATGCTGTTGTCGGACTCCCCGCAGCGCACATCGAATGCGTCCTGTGACGACTGGACATCCGCAATCTTCGCAATCAAAGCATCATTGCGCTGCTGCTGTTGCTCCAGTTGCTCTGTCAGCTCCTCAACCTCCCGCGAGAGGCGTTCGCGGGCGTTCTCGCTATTTTTCAGCGTTGATTGCAGTATGAGACGCTCTGCTTTCACCTCCTCGAGCGCAGCCTCCACCTGTTCCACTTTGCGGCGCAGTCGTTGCGGCTCCATGTCGGCCTCCGCTGCAGCTGTACGTAGTGCGACGAGTTCCTCGTTGGCCGCCGCCACGGCGACGTCCTGCAGCAGCCGCTTCTGGCCGAGGAGCTCCAGTAGCGCGGTGAGACACTCTTGCTCGAGTAGGGCTCGAGAGTACTCCTCATCGCGCACAGAGCCACATACCACCTGCTCCCATGCGAAGCCTGCGGAACCATCACAATATCCATTGCTCCTGTCGTTGGTGCCGCTGCCACTCGTAGTGTTGGTGGTAGTGGTGCCATCGGCCCCCCCTGTTGGGGAGAACGACTTTCGAACGGAGGCCATCGCCAGATGAAGCACATCACGATAGTAGCGCAGCCGCAGGTAGTACCGCTCCGACGTCTCTGTCTCCTCCAGGAGGAGATGCTCTAACTCCGTGATGTCGCGCACCTTCGCCGCCACCTCTTTCTTGGAGCTGGACAGCTGCCGCTCGATCTTTGACACGCGCAGCAGCAGATTCACGTTTGTCTCCTTCTCACTCAGGTACTCTGCACGGGCCTCATCGAGCTGTGCAGCGAGTTCGCGCTCACGCTCTACCGCAGGCTTTCCGCCTCGTTCCACGCGCAGCATCGTTCGCGTTGCCGCCAAGTCAGACTGCGCCACGTCGAGCGCGTGGACCTTTTCTGCGAGCCTGTTCTGTGCCTCCTCCAGCTGCCGTGCTGCGTCATCGCGCTCCTGCCGCAGTACAGTGAGTTTCTCCTGAAGGCTTTGCCGCGCCGTCTCCACATCCTCGCGGCACTGCCGCTCCATCTTAACCTCCTTCTTGAGGGCCTCTATACGGCGCTCCAACTCCTCACGGCGGCGCGACGGCTCCGCAATCACAAGTGGCGGCGGCGGCGGCGGCGTAGATAGCGTAATCTCGCTGCTGCTACTGCTGCCGCGACCCTGCTTCCCCCAGCCACCCATAACGGGGTGGGCCTGCCGCCCTGCCGCTGCCCCCACGTACGGCTGCTGCTGCTGCTGCTGCTGTAGTGTCGAAGAATCGCGCCACACCGAGCCCTCACGGTGGCGGCGGAGCCACTCTTGCACCTCACCGTCCTTCTGCATAAGCTGTTCGTGAAGCTTCATGATCTCACCACGCTTCTGTGTCAACTCCTCGCGCAGCGCCGTCGTAGTGGATACGAGCTGCCGCTGCAGTTGATTCCGTTCCTTTCGGAGCACCTCGTTCGCCTCCTCTAGGTCCTCCGCGCGCCGCTGCAAAGCTGTCATTTCAGCTGCGGGCACCATTGCTAGCATTCCCGCCCGCATTGAGTCCATCTGTGCTTCAAGTGCATCCCTATCGCGGCGGAGTGCGCGAATCTCCTCGTGGTGCACATCCGCCGCTTTTCCCTCCTCCAGCTGCAGCGTAAGCTTCACGATTTGCTGCCGCAGCGTTGCAATGAGTTTCTGGAAGTGGCGGTCTTCGTTGACTGTGGCAACGTTGATGACCTTCTTTGTGACGCCAGCAAAGCGCAATGTGTTGAGTGTCTGCTGATAGCAGTAAGTGCTGGGGGCGATTGTGGCGAGCATAATAGTCTTGCTGTTGCCGCCCAGACTGTCGGAGAGCAGCCACGTCAGCACGCTATCTCGGTAGGCCGGCACCACATGCTTCCCCGCTTGCTTGTCCGACAACTGCAGAATAACACGGCCTAAGGTTGTGAGGGACAGATTGATGTTGCGCGCCTCTTCAAAGCGTTCACCGGTAGCGCCGGATTGCGACACCCGCTCGCTTCCGGCGAGGTCGACCATGTTCACCTTGCACACGCGTGTTTTGGTCACCACCGCCGTCTCCTCCCGCACCACCGCAACACGGGTGATGTGCAGCTGCAGAATGGCGTGGCTGCGGCTGCTGTACTCGTTCATGCGCGTTTCCGCGGTGGCGCGCTCCCGCATGCCGCCAATGAGTTGCCGCATGACCCCCTCGGCATCGCGCACCTTCACAAGTGCAAGGCCCTCTACATACGGCCCGCGCGTCGGGTGCTGCCGAATCCGCAGCGACGACGACGACGACGAGGCGCCGTTTATGGCGGCTGACACCGCCGCCGTCGTCGTCGTCGTCGCACCAGAGCCACTGCAAGTAGATGTTGCGACTGCAGCTGTGACCACCTTGCCTGTGCTGTGTGCGAGGAGGTCACGCACCCGCTCGCAGTAGATCTCTAAGAAGCTACACTCCACATTGTACGTGACGCTCTCATCCTCCTCGCGCTCCTTGCGCATCATCTCGAAAATATCCTCGCAGAGGCGTGGTATGACGCCGCGCTCCGTCAAGCGCGTGGCAAAGCTATCGGGCGGCCCCATCATGCTGTGCGTCTTACCGCTTCCCGTCTGCCCGTAGGCGAAGAGACACGAATTGTAGCCCGCCATAACGGACTCGTACATGCGTGGGCCAATGAATGCGTACACGGAGGCCTGGTCGTCATGCTCCGGTACCCGCGCGAAGCACGGCAGTCCGCTGAACGGCAGCCGCGACGCCACCACGGAGGAGTCCGTGCCGCCGGCAATGCTGCTGCTACTGCTGCAGCACATCCCCGGCATCGCCGACGCGGTGCGGGACATGGCGCTCGGTGTGATGCCCTCCACGCACGACATGCGTGGCGACCACGTCGCCGGCGACCCGCCTGGCCCGCACACCGGCAGAACCTGCGGGGGAACGCTCCAGAAGATTTTGTCGAACGTGAAGACGTGCTGCTGGCCACTGCCGCTGCCGCAGCCGTTGCTCACAGAGACACCACCGACGTCCGTCAGTGTGACGGTGCGGGCATCGGAGACGGTCAGCGTACACTCGAGCGCCGACTCGCGTGCGCTAAACGGCCGCACACGCACCGCAACAAGTACGGCTGATGTCTCGGACGCCATTGTTGCTGCTGCTAGCTGCTTCTAGTGGTGTCCCTGGACTCTTGATTGATCCAGTTGCTGTTGTTTGTCCCCTCTTTGCCCTCTGCTGTGTTGCTTCCCTCTCTTTGTCTAGAGTGTGTATTGCCTTCAGTGCTATGCTTCTCTTTCTTGAACTTTTTTACGCTTCGCCCTCTCTTGATGTGTCTTCGTCGCTCGACCACACCGCCGCTTGTCTGAATGTGTGCCTCAATCACACCGCCAATCGTAACAAAAGCGCCACGCCAAGAGACGGAGGGGAACGTTCTCGTTTCAAGTTTTTTGTCGTTTTGCGTTCCACTGCGCTCCTCCGACTTCAGTTTCCGCCGCCACGCGTACTTCTTCTCTCTTCGCGTCCCGTTGCCTCTGTGTGGCTTTCCCCGCCTTGTGCCCGGCAGCTGTTGCTGCAACAACAACAACAACAACCGGAGCGAGCGAGAAAGAAAGATAAAGAGAGAGAGAGAGAGAGAGAGACAATGAGAAAGGGAGAGAAGGGGCGCGCATTGTGCGTGTGTTCGAGGGCAATAATAAGAAGAGAATTGCATGGCGACGTACCATGTGGATCTGAGTAGGAGGGAGCAGATAGCGCGGGCGCGCGCGCGAGAGAGAGAGAGAGAATGAGCGCGCAAACAGACACAAAGTGGGGCACTCGTCTGCGCAGATGATTCCGCATGAAATACGTGTGTGTGTGTGTGTGTGTGTGTGTGTGTGTGTGTATGTGTATATGTGTATGTGTGTGTGCGAATAAATCAACTAGTAAGCAAACACACAACATGATACGCATAGCTGGGGTGAAATTGGATGGAATGGGCGCAACGCACACACGGTGGTGAGGGGTCCCTCGCTGCTGCTACCGTCATCATCATCATCATCATCATCCTTAGGAGCAGCAGCAGCAGCAGCAGCAGGCGTCACTCCGTTGTGCGTAGCAAAAGGGAAAAGAAGCAGCCCCCTCGCAATTTGCCCACCACAATCTATCGGGCTTCCACACACAATCGCGGCTGAACAACACAAGCGATGCTAAATTAATCATTAAATACAAACTTAAGATGAGCATGGCAGGAGAACGCCTGCCACACATAACCCCACACAACACATCACACACCACACACACACACACACACACAGAAAGAAGTGACATTAGCAACAAAGGTACACGGGAGAAAAACAGAAGAAAATACCTAAAGAAGACCAACCATAAATAACAGAAGTTGGTATATATATGTATATATATATATATATATGACGAAAAAGGAACTACTACACACACACACGGAAATGGCCCCCAACATTTATCGTCTGCTTTGCCTTGTCTTCGCCTCGCCCCCCCCCCCCC